GCTCAACCTAGATGTTGCACCGCACCTTTTCATGGTAGTGGGGCCCTTGTTGTACTGAAACCCGGGCTCCGTTACCCACGTGGCAACACGAGCACCGCGAGCCCTACGGCACCTTCATTCCCTGTCGCTACGACGCGGACTTCGAGACCTACACGATCCAGGGGAGGACCTGAGGACTTTCGTTTACAGCCATCTGGCTGCTCGAGCTGCTGATCCTCGCAGGGTTAGCCGATTAGCCGGTGGTTGGGGCAGCATCTGTTCAGGAGGTACAGCGTTACCAGGCCGACTCGATCACACCAAGGACAGGGAAATCGAAGTTGAGAAGAGTCCACATCTTGAGCATCGAGAAGCGCACCTTTCGAACATCCAGTGGATCAAGAGTGATAGAGCTTTGAGATGCTTTGAGAGTGTCCACCTCCTGGCGCAACGGGGGGATCAGACGGAGTTCAAGGAGGTGATCGTGGTGGTGCCATCGAAGATTGAATTGCTGAGAGACAACACCGAGCAGGACAAGTTGAGTGAGCTAGTGCACAACTGCCGCTTTTGGGACATCCTGTCCGACACAGGGCTGGGCTTTGGGAGTTCGGCAAATGTTGAGACGGTGGAGACAAAGGCCTATTATCCAATGGTCTTTGGTTGGAAAACAATGGCTGAAGAGAGTTTGAGCCAAGTGGCAACTGCCCTTGAGCGCCTGGCCAAATCAACCAGGCTTCACAATGCTGGGCACGGCATTTGAAAGTTCCAGACGTGTTCAAGCCGGATGGACGAGAGAATCTGAACTGAAGTTGCGGAGTGATTGGAAGCTTTCATTCCTAAACGATGTGAAAGGCCTCGACCCGTGTATGGCGAACAGTATGGACATGGTGGAGAGCAATGTGGACGCCAACTACAACATCGAGGACATGACACACGAGACAAAGGCCAAAGCTGTGCGGTTGTACAGTTTGTTGACCTCCTACAGGCGGCAGCGACCTTTGAAGCTGATCCACCACGTCAAGAACGAAAATGACTTTGAAGCATGGCAGACCTTGCCCAAAGACACGCAGCCGGCCACCAGAGCTAGAGCCTTGGCTTTGTTGAGCCAGGTGTCGAGAATCCATTTTGCTGAAGGGAAGTCAGTGCCTGAACAACTTCCCCAAATCGAAGCATTGGTGTTGGAGTACGCACGCATCTCAAGCCAAAAGTACTTCGACTCCAATGATGCCAAAGTTGCCGCAGTGTGCTGGTGGCATGCCCTTTGCAGATCCGCCAACACCTACATCTATGGCTCACTGACAGTACGACCTACCACCAGCTGAAAGACCGCATCATCCAATTGGAGGCAGCGACAACAAAGTGGGACGCTTCAAACAGCCTCATGCTTCCCACTCGAACTTTGAGCGATGATGCAACTCCTATTGAGGTGGACTACGTCGGCAAGGCTGGGAAGGGGAAGAGAGGAGGCAAGAGCAAAGGGAAAAAACCGCACACACGTCAGCAAGCCCCTACAAACCCGCCTCCATTACCTTTATGCCTTGCAACCGTGACTCGACAGTTCGAAAACTAGGCTCCCGGTTTTGTCCGAAGATGGCACGAAGCGTGTCCCTC